TGTTTCACTTCCGAGTTAAGTGCCCAAGCATTTGCTCTTTACAACACTGCGCCTTCGAGTACTGCTACCAATTCCTTTTGCTCACAAATTTGGTCAAACAGTGATTTTGAAACACTTCCTTCTCCAACACAAATAGGTCAACCGGATTCAAATCTAAACGAAGGACACAATGCTACTCTCTAAATTGTGAGTTTTCCAGCAAAACCCGTACCTTACTTGAGTCCCTACAATCTTTCTTTTTCAGTTTGAATATAAACTGAAAAGTTGTTGCTGAGTAAAATAACGCTTTTGCCTGACGTCAGAATAGTTATTAGGAGCAAAATCACCCCCCGCTGGGCATGCCCGGAATTCCGGGGGAAATCAGCTTTCGTTGTTCTATGGCCCAGACCAGATGCTCTGAGGTGGCCAGGAACCTTAGTCTACGCCCACTTAGCAGATTTCTGGCTTTCTATCAGGGACTAAGAGGTTTATTTGCAGAAATGGATCATTTCCTTCTAAATATCCTTTACCCTATTTACATGCCTGCATATTCCTTCTATGTTGTTTTCCCCCTACAGCTTTACTAAGGGAATTAATTATCTAGAAGAACAGGAACATACAGTAAGTACATCTGAGATACAGGATGAGACACAGTATGTCATCTATTAGGCCTGGCTAAGACCAGCAGCTGATGCTAAATGGGAAGGAACATGCACCAAATGTTTTTTAATCACAAAGTTAGTAATTAATTGCTCTTTAAAATACATTTTATGCTTCTTTCTGTCTGTGTACATGAGATGCACATTTATTACATGCCAAAAATTACAGCATTATGGTTTAAATGTGATTGGCACGGAAGTCCGGAAATCAGCGTTAATGTTCCCACAGCAACTTTAATTCCGACCGTGTGCACATGCGGGCTGTAACGGCCTCCGCTCCAGGATCATACATATAGATGGTCTGGGCGGGAGGCTAACGACCCATATCCTCAACTGTAGTTACAGGAAGAAAACAAAGGCCATCAGCTGCGAGCCTTTCCACGTGTGTGGATAAAAACAATGTCCCTGTGCCCCGCGTTGTGCAATCAGAGATGAAAGAATCTGCTGTGAGGCCGGCACTTAGGGGGACAGTTTCTGTTGCTGTGGGAACCCGGACTTTGCATTTCCTGACTTTGGGGTAATTAAAATGTCAGCCTTAATGTGGCATTAATGGAGCTTGCCATAAAAAATCCTTTGTTTTGTTCTCTAAAAAAATTGCATAAAAGTTCAAACTGAACCAAGTGTACTAAAAATTTTAATCTCGGGAACTTGGACTGGTGAAACAAAGGGTTGGGGGCAGGGAGGCCAATGGAGGTGGATGGCAGGAAAGAGAGGGACGAGCCCAGGAGTCTCCTGGCCAGCGTTTGGCCCCAGCAAGTCATGCTACCTGCAGAGTTAAAGTTAACCCCACCCACACAACACTTTGGTAATGTGCAAAGGTTAAATTAAAAATAAGCAAAAACTGTGATTGCGTAAGTGCATCTTGTCAAGGACACACAAAAGTAAGGCAGTCTGATGAGACCAGTGCAAAACATGGGAAGGTAAGCAACCACGGATGCCAGCTCCCAACAAAAGAAAGACAACAGCATCCTGGGCCTACAGTCAAAAGCAGGGAGCACTGCCCCAAGGAAGAGGCACCCCTCCACTCCTTCAAGGGGGCGCTTATTTTGGGGCAAGTGATATGGGAGAAATATGCAAGTGATAGTTCGGGTGGCCTCTGTCACGTGTACATGACTGTGCTAGGCTACAGCTTGCTATTTGATAAGAAAGGTCTTTCACTTAGAGAGCCTCGCCTGTTCTCCTGATGTGGTTTAGTCCTGTTTCAGCATTTGAAGGGAGAGCCTATTCAGTTTTGTATCCATTTCAAACCTTATCTCAGTGCCTTCCATTGTCATCATCTGAGTTTGAAACGGTAAAGAGGTGACAAACTAGGAGGTAATGGAGGAGTGTACTAAAGGAAATTGTTAGTGTGAGTAATAGTAACCTTAGGACTAATTTAACCTCATCATCTCACAACAGAAGGTGCTTCTCAACCATATTCCTTCTTAGTTTGAACATTGCTGGGATCTTTGGCCAAATCTGAAGTGGCTGGGCAGGTTACATAGTCAATTGAGAATGTCAGGGGTCAGACTTATCCTCTTCCCTCTACAATTTGGCCTGTGCCCTTCAGAGGCAATGATGCTGTGGCCTACCCACCCTCACTGGTCCATATTCACAGCTGACTTCTTCTGTGGGGATGTTTATATATCGTGTTTTATAACCCACTCACCAAAATGAGTAGTTGCACATTTTCAAGATGCCTGTTTACAGCCTGGAATGCCATCTCTAGGCTTGGAACAAAGAATCCAGGCTGCCCACAGTGAGAGCAAAGCCACAGACATCCCTCAGTATCTGAATGAGTTAATTATGAGCAAGTCATTCATCTGTCTGTCAGTTTTCTCATCTGTACACTGGGGAGAATTATACTGACTGACAGGAAATGGGCATTAAAGCATGACTAAGAATCATTCTGCTAAACACATGACAAATGAAACAGTACTGTAAAAATTCAGGCACCTGTGCATGTGGGCATACCACATGCTGGCGGATGTTTCCAAACTTAAAGAGATAACAAGTCAAGGGCACTGTTTATAAATGCCCCAAATCTGTTAGTTCTAAATAGGAACTGAATATTTCACCTTAAAGAAATTAGGCTTTTAAATTAATCTAAGGAAAGAATGACATTTGAAAGTAAAAAGAAAAGAAAAAATCCTCTTGAAAGCAAGAAGAATATCCAAAACTTTAACAGCTTAAAATAAACCTCTTTCCTATCTTCTCTCCAAATGGCCAGATTTCTTCGAATTCTTCCTAAAAACAATTGTCTTCGAAGTGTAAGCTCAACTCAGGACAAACTACGATCCGAATATATTTGGAGAAAAGTAGAATCAATTAAACAACAGGTTGGAGCAGAGAAGACTTTCACATCTTAATGGCAAAATCAAACTGACTTCAAACAGCTGGAGATTAGGTTTCTCCTCCCTGTTCGGACACCCTGCTGACTGGCCTCCTCGTCGCTGGGAACTGTACGGCTACCATGCTTGTTCAGTTCCTTGCACATCTCCCATGCTAACGCCAAGGCCTGCTCAGAGGATGCTTATAGGAAAGTACAATAAATGGAGCTCAGTGCCTCCTCTAGTTAGAAAAACACTTTGCTGCAACAGGGGGTTTCTGGTCGAAGTCCACTCTATGTAATCTTCCCACAGGGTCTGGCAGCAGGCCAGGCGGGAAGGTCTGCACGCAGGAGCTCCAGGCCTTTGGCCACAGGAACAGGCTACCCTCCTAGTAGGCAGGGACAGTGCGCACATGTCTACGGGCACTGTGCCACACTGTTTTCCAATCCTTCCTGTAATTACTATTGGGCTGGAGACTGCCAGGCAAGAAGGGCCAAGGATGTTCCTATTACAATGGCCAGCAGAACACAGTCCCCGCTTCTGACCCCCAGGTTTCTCCAGAGAGGCGGCCACTTTGTACAAATTACTCTGGCTGTGGAGATCTGGATCTCCTTATTCTCATTTCATTTTCTCGGGGCAGCTGGAGTGTGGTCTCAGAACCATTTTCCTTCACCCCAACTCCACCCCTGGGTCTTGTCCCTCTATCTAGAGACTATTATGATGAAGCGAGGAAGGAATGCAATCTCTTGCAGGAATGAATTCACCTCTGGCCCTCTTTGTAGAATTTTGCATTTGTTTTGCCAGAATAATGACACTAGGAAACTTAGAATGTCATTTCCTAATTAATAATTTTTGTCTTTGTGGACAGAATAAATGGAGTCCTTCTTTTTTTTCTTTTTTTTTTTAAATAAAACCACAATTCTACTTTCTGTCTCCATGAATCTGATTACTCTAGGTGCTTTGTGTAAGTGGAATCACACACATGTTTCACTTAACATATGTTGAAGTACATCCATGTTGAAGCATGTTTCAGAATTTCCTCCCATTCTAAGGCTGATAATGTGTGTGTGTGTGTGTGTGTGTGTGTCATTTTAAAGGAGAATACGCCAGCTGTTTGCCTGTTACCAGATTTCCCGACTGGAGATAAGATCAGAATAGTTGTTAGGTACTTCAAGACTAAAAGGAATATTCTTTGGGATTGGAACCCAAAGTTTTCCCATTACTTTCCTTTGTTAACACACATATATCTTTCTCTTTCACGTATTGGGTTACACTGCAAAAAGAGAAAGAAGTCTCCTAAATGTGATTTATCAACTTTCTTAAAATAGAATTTAAAGAAGTGACTCCCAGATTAGTGAGAAGACAGCAAAAATAAACAGCAATGGAGTGATTTTAATAGCGACGATCTCATTAAGCTGCCCATTTCCAAATTTAGCCCGTAGGCAGTTTTTTTAATTAAAAAATATTTTTAACCTGAGTTTCTATTGGCTACGTGAGGCCTGGGTGGCTTCTGAATTCTTGGAAGCCATTCTCTTTTCCTCTGTAAATTTATGCTATCCTTTAACCACTTCAAAATAAATTAAAAACTGGAAAGACAGAAATTCAGCCAAGCTACATGAGACTCCAATAACTAATGCAAAGCTGATTTGTGTTAAGTAATTTCAAAATGGATGTTTCCTTGCATCTAACTGGCCGTATGAGATCCACATTTGACTGCTCAATTAAGTCAAGGTGGAAAGTGCCCTGATTCCGATACTGGGGACAAAAGAATTAGCTACACAACTTCACAACTTCTTTTTCTAAGTTAATGTTATGGGAGATGATGTAGTTTCTGTGTAATTAATCATCCTTTTGAGGCCAAATGGCTGGTCACCTGGTTTTAACATCCCGTTCTGAAAATAGAGATGTTGGCTGAGACAAAATGGTGGCAAGTGATTTTTGGCTACTTTAGACCGAATGGAAACAGCCTACTCTGAAGGCCACTGAGCCAGAGCCAGGGGAGAAGCCCGCTCCACGCCCCGAGAAGACAGCGCCACTGTACTGGTGTACTCACAATCAGATGACCTGGTGTGAGCGTGAGAGTTTGTCAGTGAACGTGTTGAGTGGATGAGGGCTGGGTCTGGAGACAAAACAGCTTCAAAGTTCAGGCAGGGAAGGCCCGGCTTGGCGCTGGATCCACCCGGCTGAGTAATCTCATTCTCCTCAGATGCCTTCTGGTTTTCAGCTGTCTTGGGTTTCTTCCTGAAAATAAACAAAGGGCCCTTTGAAGGAACTGAATGCATATTTGGGAAAAGGCATTTTTAGAATCTGTTAAAGATAACTTGATTTTTTTTTCTGAGGGGGGATGGGAGGGAGTCCAGTATGTCCCTTGTTTTAAAACAAGCTGATTCTTGTTTTTTCTTTTTCTTTTCCCTCCAGTAATGGCCTAACTGGGAACACATGAAAGCATATGGGCCAAGCAAACAGCACCACATTTGGACTCCGTTGGCTGCATAAAAAGACCCTGTCCCGGAACTTTAGACAGCTTGAGCTACGTATGGCTGACATTATCCAAGAAGGCATCCTTTTCCCCCTTCAGAGTTTTAACATGGTCTGGAAAAATACTAGTGGAGGTTTACCGTTCTAGCATTTGTCAGGAAGCTTAGAGACAGGACTCGTGGAGTAATGGGAGGAGCACTGGACTGGGAGTCAGGAGACTTGAGCTATGGTACTAGCTGTGCCTCTAACTTGCTGTGTGGCCTTGGGCACCTCACTTCACCTCTCTGGGCTTCAGTTTCCTCATCTGTAAAATAAAGGGCTTGGATTAGAAGGCCTTAAAGGTTCCTTCCAGCTTTAATTTCTCTTCATGGAACACATTATGAACATTCAACTTTTTTGCAGTTTTATTAGGTTTTATTTTAGATCAATACATAATTTCAAGTCACAATCTAAATGTTCAGGCTGTACAGATGAGAGGGGTAGTGATGGAGGTTTTTGTTAAGGTAGCAAATGGACAGTGAACAGAAGAGCTTAGATTCCATAGGTAGAGGGAAGGTGTCACTGGAGATTCTCTATTCCAAACTCATTACTCACCCAAAGCTTGAGATTCCCTTTGTTTTTTTTTTATTTAGTGCATGAACTGCTTTTTAACAAGTTTATTTATTGATTTTTAGAAAGTGAGAGCAAGAGTGAAAGAGAGAAACATCGATTTGTAGTTCCTCTTGTTTATGCATTCATGGTTGATTCTTGTATGTGTCCTGACCAAGGATCCAACCTGCTACCTTGGCGTTACTGCGATGACACTCTGAGCAACCTGGCCAGGGCTTCATGACTCTTGGTATAGGAATGTGACAGGGTGTCTGAGATGGGATGAAGAGATTGGTAAAGGGAATTAGAAAGTAATTACTGCTAATAGTTATTTGGGGTCAGGAATAGGAAGCAAAAGAGCTAAGTTATTGATCAGGTCCAGTCTTCACTCCCTTGGACAATGCAACTGATATAAACAAATAAATGCTTAACTTAGACTGCACATACCCTAGGCCTCAGTCAAATTGAATTATTAATTATACCCTGAAAATTCTCCCCAATTTCCTTGGCTCTGTGCTTCTAGAACTATATGCATGGTGACCAGAGAAAGTGCTTTCTTTTTGGTCGAAGATCATGTGTGGTACATACTCTGTTGTAAGTCCAGTTTCCATGCTTTGCTTATTTCTATAAGCATAGCAATGAACTTGTTACTCAGAATATCTTCTCTTGGGATTTGCTGTGCGGGGCAGTTAAATCTGCCCTCACAGAGTATGGTGTTCTGATTAGCATGCTGTGTTTCTGGTCCAGTTGGCTGTGAAATAAATCTGCTTTTCCAGAGGGCAGGAGGCAGAGGTGGGGTGGCACGGATGAAAACAGAGGGAAGCTTTCAGACATATTTTTCAGGATGGAGGAAGCCAATGGAAGAGAAGGAACAAATTGTAGCGCTTTACCCACTGTTTGTTGAGTGGGTGACTGTGGAACTAACCCCCAGATTCTGAGTGTCTACATGGACCTGCAAAGACCAGGTTTCTAGGTTTTAGTTTAATGAGGTCCCCAACTCCTTCCTTTCCCTAAGAAAACCAGCAGCTCTTCTAAGGTCCTTATTTCTATTACTGTCGTCTGTCCCCGGGTTGGAAACCCCAGGGTCACACACCTTCCTCTGCCTTAAAGTCAATTCATCAAGTCCCGACAATTCTGCTTCCTTTATATTTTATCATCCGTGTTTCCATTCCATTTCCATTGCTATCGCCCGAACACTCTTTATTTGGACTGTTGCTCACTTCCTGGCTCTCTATTCTCCTTGACTCCTAGTCTCACTTCTTGGCATTCACTAAATCTGAGGTGACCACATCAGCCTGACCCTATTCTACCTTAGCTCACATGCCCTACATGTTGGCCATCTTGAACTCTCAAATTTTGTGAATATTTCCAGAACGTCCTGGGGAATCTTCATCCTTGGTCAAGTTATTTCTCTTGCTTTGAATGCCCCTATTTCAACTATATTGAAATCCTATTTACCCTTTATATTTATTAAATGTTGTCTCCATCTTATAACTGTCTTGATTTCTCTCTGTCAGGTAAGACCTCACTCTCTGTCTCTCAAATTCTTCTCCCTCCTATCTTTCTTTGAAACACCAAACACTTTTTCCTTATTTTATTTTGCTTACTCAATTTTGCTGCAATTATGTACTTATTAGAGGCCTGGTGCATGGATTTGTGCACTGGTGGGGTCCTTCGGCCTGGCCTGTGGGGATCAGACCGAAACCGGCTCTCCGACATCCCCTGAGGGGGCCTGGATTGCGAGAGGGTGGTTCTTGGGTGACGCACCCCAGAATCGGGCTCTATCCTCTCTGGTTCCAGGAGCATCACCTGAGAACCACTGCTGCCAAGACACTGCAGATCAGCAGCTCCTGTATTGAGTATCTACCCCCTGGTGGCCAGTGCATGGCATAGCTACCAGTCCGATGGTCAGACCGTCACTTAGGCTTTTATATATATAGATTATCCCTCCTCTAGGACACTGTAAACTCTGAGGGTTAGGAAATGTCCTTGTTATTATTGAATTCTCTGTGTTCATGCACTTTCCCCTCTTCCTTCCCTCCCACCATTCATTTATTCATGTATTCATTTTCCAAATACTTGTTATGTGGCTATGGTGAGCCAGTGTGGGTTAGGGAATAGAACAAGCCTGGTTTCTACCTTCCCAGTGTTTGCTGTCTAGTGTGTACTGTTAAGCCAATAGCTTAGACACAGCATAATTCAATATATACTTGTTGATAGAATGAAATGGTGAAGAAATTAAAGTATATTTTGACAAGAGTCATAGTCTGAATCCCAATTAAGTTTGCTACTCTTTATACAGCAGTGAAATCTACCTTGAATGGCTGCTTTTACTTTGAATCCATGAAGGACACTTGGTAGGAGTAGGGACATTTTGCTCACTAATGTTAGGCTGCTCCTCATGATTCATTTAAATACAGGGATGAAATACTAATGACAATCACAACAGAAAAAATATTTATCCTGGCTGCTCTTAGCAAGGCCTACACTAGTTTCAGATGTGAGCTTTCAGAATTAAGGAAGTTCTTTCAAAAATGAGCATATGGCCAACATTACTCTTTTATTTTTATGATTGCACAAATTGTATTATTCTTTATATAAATGCCCTTGCTTCCTTCCCCAGATTTCACCCAGCTTCCTACCTGATATCTTGCACCACACCCTCCTACTTGTTATCTTAAGGATCACCTTTGGGGTACATTCAAAACAAAGAGGCATTGGGGTCATCTCTATGAACAGAAAGTATTGAAAACTGAACCTTAATTGGTTCATACCTCCATTTGCCTAATATCACTTTACTTGTCTGTGTGCCATTAGGCTGTTTCCCAGCTGCCAGAGAGCAGAGAGCCACTCAGTGTTCTCAGAAGCCACTCATTCCCATCCCACCTTCTCCGAAAGTCCTTCTGGACTCCTTTTCCCAGAGTTGAGTAACACTGAAATATAGCCTCAGTCTATGTCTACAAATGCACAGGTGGGTTATTCTGACCCTATTTTTTCAATTAATAGTTTATTAAGAAGGGAAGAGCAAGTCCTATAGCAATTCATTTAAAATACCTTCTTTGGTTGTGTGAAAAATAATGATACAAACAGCATATCTGAGGACCAGTCTCTTTCAGCCCCTGTGGCTCTGCATTCCTACCCGGAGCCATTAGAGGGCAGCAGTACACTGGCTGGCTCCCGGCAGCCTTTTGGATAGGCACCTCCCCACCAGACCAGAACCTTCCTCTCCTGGTCACCATGCCAAAGGTTGCTTTGCCAAGCTCTGGCCGCTAGGCCTCTTTCTTTCTTTTCAGCGCTCTCTCCCTCTCTCTCTCTCTCTCTCTCTCCCCTACCCCACTCCCCTTTTCTCTCTCCCTCCTTCCCTCCCTCCCAGTGTTAAAATTATACACTCTGATGAAGTCGCCCCTCAACCGGAAAATGAAAGCTCCAATGAAAAAGTTAGACAAGCCAACAATAACAAAGAAAGAAACTGGGAGAAAGGGGAAAAGGGGCTGGGGAGGGGGAAGGATTTAAGAACAAGAAAAGGGCAGATGTTTTGTAAATATATGCAAAGCAAAACTGGGTGTACCCTGAACACTTCCACCGAGAAACAGACCAATCATTGTGCACTTCCTCCCGCCACTCTGGTGGGAGCTCTGCATTTAAAAAAAAAAAAAAAGTGTGGCTGCAGGCACCTGCCTTTCAACGGTTAGTTCTGCCACCCTGACTGAATATCTCCCAATTGTCCAAGGAGAACAAAACCATTTGATCTTCCCACTGAAAACATTTCTGTTAAGAGAAAAAGACTGCTACAAGGCTAGGAAGGCATTCTAAGGTGACAGGCAGTTGGGTTAGCCAGCGGGCCCTTCTGGTTTTTAACTCTCACTGTGCTGGCCCTGGCAACAAGTTTTGGACTAAAACATAGCAGTGAAAGGCTGTGGAAGATGTTGGCTCTTTCCTTACTAGACCATATTGTATGTGGAAGGAAATATGCATTAAAACATATTGATGAGATGTAGGTATCATGCATGTGAAATGCATGGAAATTAACCAGAGAGGCGGCATTTCACGTATACATTTCACACTTCTTCGCACACATTGCACACATACAGTGATGGCAGTGCTTTCTACAACATATGGAAAATAAATATTTTATCTGTGTGAGCTCTTATCAGTCTCCAGGGGCTTTGGAGAGCAGAGTGCTCTCTTCTATCTCCCTCCCCCAATTTTCTCTCTGCCAGGCTCCCCCGCTCCAGCGCATTAAGCATGCCTTCCACTCACCAGTCTGCTTGGATCAGAAAGAATTAGTGAGAACCTCCTCTGGATGAATAATTACTCAGTCATTAGATCATGATAATTTAGACCAGTGATTGCCCCCCCCCCCCATCTTTTTGGACTGGTAACCATTTCCTTACGCTCCTTCCCAACAGTGCCTTGGGGGGAGGCTTAGGGAATGTTTGGGTTTGGGGGCAAAGGGCAGGTGGAAACAAGGCATCCAGTGAGAGATGGTGGCAGGACTGTGTTCTACCACCTCGTAGCTGTGTGCTCTAGACAGGCCACTCTGCTTCCCTGGGCCTCTGTTTCTTCACTGAAAAAGTAGAAATAATAATAATACCTTCTAGGGCTGATGTGAGAAATGAGATAATTCATGTCAAGTGGGTGGCACATCCTGGCATATGGTCAGTGCCCAATGATGGTAGCTCTTTTCACAGAGAGTGTCATTTCTATGGTTCTGTCTTTTCTGCTATAACAACGCACTTCCTTTATGTTAGTAATCTTTTTTGTTCAGTAATCTTTTTTAATATATAGATTTGGGCAGAGGCAAATGGGCTGTAATTGTAGCAAAGGTGGAAAAATGCTGGGACAAGCACCTCCTCTTGAGCGCTATGATCTCACTGTATTACCCTCCTGACACATCCTGTCTACTCACATTGGTCCTGCTGCTGCTGTACCAAGAGCTATTCTTCACGCTGAGGCTCGAACAGGCTACCCTTGGCCTATGGAAGCCCATCAAACCTGAGCACCGTGGCCTATTCATTAAAACCAACCTTTGGCAACTCTCTCATCATGTGTTCTTACAATTTACTCTTTCACTACTTGGTCTAATGTTCTCATATCAATTTAAGATGTTTTTGTGATTAAAACATTTTATTCTCTCTCTTTTTTTAAAACTTTCTTGGCAAGGCTGACATACAATGTTTTTCAGTGTATATCTCCCCCACTGTATCAGGCAGGATCCTGGCAAGAAACAGATGGTACACTCAAAGGTTTGAACTGAAGAGAATTCAATGAGAGGATTATACTGAAGTTCATGTGAGGTTAAGGGACCCTCAAGGGATGGTGAGCATCAGGGACTAACAGTGGTGGGAAGCTGTTAAATCTCAGCTTTAAACTGTTACCCGGAAGGAGCAAGGAAAGGCGTGGCTGGGAAGGAGGCTTGGTTAATAATGCCCTGACCTCACTCTCCTCCCACTCTCACACCTCTTGCTGATCAATCCTTTAGGCCAAAGTCAGGAGGAAGCCAGAGGAGAAGACAGCTGGGCAACACAGTTCAGAAAGGTCAGCCTCTGGGCCACAAATCAAGGCAGAGAATGGTTCTGGGGTTTTGTTTGTGTCCATCGGGGGTGGAGGGAGACTAACAGACATGTCTATTCTTTCCCTCTCCGTTTCTTCACCCTTTGCCTCTCAATCTTACTTTCTGGAAGGAAAGACACAGCAAAATAAAAGGGAATCAATTCTCTTTTAGTGTCCACCTACCTATTTTGTCTACTTGCCATTTACAGGAGAAGAAAACTGAGTGTAAGCTTGACGACAGCAGGGGCTGGTGTGTGCTGCCATAACTCTGTTGTCTAGAAGAGTGCCTGGCACATATTAGATGTCCAGTGAATTTTAGTCGACTGAGCAAATACACTCATCTCTGCTGGGACAGACACTATATATACATTCTCTCATTTAATTTTCACAACAGTCCAGGCAAATAGGCTGGGCCACTGGGCATGCTCGTCCAGGTGGTGTGGGAGTGGGTAGGTTTTAAAATCTAACACTCACCTCCTTTATACCCACCCCCAAGCCTTGAGACCTGGCCCAGGGTATTTTCAACCCACAGGAAGGGACAAAGTTTTATAATTAGTCCACATTTTTATACTTTAATCACCTTTTTGCTTTTTGCACCTAGCAGGTCACTCTAAGTTTTGTCATTATTTCTCTTTCATATACGAGGGAGCTGAGTTTCTGAAAAGCACAGGCTGCAAGAATGGGACCCAATCTGTCCGTTCTCTAGGACCTGTGAAGTGTGAAAGCAGGCACTGGCTTTCTGCTCAGGTGAAATTCTTTCAATGGCAGAAACAGACGCTCACTTGCGGGCTGCCTGGTGATTTTCATGAAACCTTAGGTCCTGATTTCTGGGTCTGGATCTCGGCTCTATGCAGCACAGGGAGGTGGGAGTGGTGGAGACGCTCTCCCAAAGGACAGATACCTCAACACCTGCCTGCGTCCCAGTACTGCTGTGCTACCTGCACTGGCACAGTTATTCCGGGATGAAGAAAAACTCAGAGAAACCCCTGATGTGGGAATCCTAAGGCACACCTTGCACTTGAACATGAGGATGAAGGAAGGTGCTCACACAAGTATGTTCCTTGCATAGGTAGGAAATGAAGAACTGTTTGATCTGGTGTCACATCTTCAGTCCCTAGTCACCTGACCCCATTGTACTGCAGAGCCCTCCGATGGCTCCCTCTCCACTGGGGCAGGTGGCCTGCCTGTCACCTGCACGTCCGCTACCATCAATCACAGTTCAGGTGGCAGAGCATTCAAGGTATAAAGCAACACAACACAAAACAAGACAAGACAAAAACCTCTGGCTTTATCCCTTTGGGTTTGATATTTGCCAGAATAGGTATAAAGACATAGAAAATGAAAATGTGAAAAATCCTACCTGAAGCCTAGGAGGGGCGTTAGCCTACAGGCTTACCAATTTCCACTAACAGAGATGCCTGGAAAATATTATCCCATCACCTGCCTCACACCATATAGGAGAATTTGTGACTGTGACACATAGAGTAAGTTTTTGTTTCAAAGTGTGAAATTAGGTTATTTTGCATGCATAGCCTCTAAATAATGTAAATGCCTGGCTTTTCTAGTAAGAAGAAAATAAAACAACCCCAAATATTCATCTGTTATTTTTAGCAATGATTAATGAATACTTTATATCAATCTCTCATCAGTGTCTTCCTATAGGCATCCTACCTCCTACTCCAACATATTTCTGTACCGTGCCTTGCAAGAGCTGTACTGTTCCTACATACATGCCTGTTACAGAGGGAACTAAACCCAGTACACAGAGCTATGCATTCAGACGGCAGAGCTGAGCTAGATACAAAGGCTAAGAGATGTGGCCTTGGTCCCTGAGAGTAACAAGGAGGCAACAGCACAGGCACAGAGATGCTCAGACAACAGATAGAAATGGGCAAGGAAAGCAGGCCTGGATTTGACCAGGTTGGCATGAAGCTCCAGGAAGGCACAGCAGAGTGTCACAGTGAGGTGGCGAGAGACCAACAAGTTGGGCAGGAGCTGCCACTGCTTCAGGGAGAGGTGCAGGTGAGCGAGCAGAGCAGCACCACTCATGCACAGTGCGCTCAGGTCCAGCTAGGCACAGCCACTGGAGAGGAGGGCGCGATGCCCCCCAGGCGTGCACTACAGGTTGGAAGCTGAGAACTGCTGCAGGTGCCTCAGGACTGAGTCCGATTACCTCACTGCATCCAACAGGTGAAGCCATCTAAAATTTCATCTGCTTTTACAATTGTGTGTGTGTGTTTTTTTTTTAATTAAAGTGAACTAAGAGGCCTTTCATTGGAGGCATAATGTACTCACAGTAGTTTCCAAATAAATGGTGTCACTCTTCAGGTAAATCACTCCAAGGCTTGGGCCTAGTGCAGATGTTCATTGGGGCAGGGGGCAGAGCGTGGCTGCATCTAGATCAGAGGAGAGACAAACAAAAATCAGGCTGCTAAGTGAACAGGTCATGGCTATCATTTGTTCGGATAAACACAGAACAGCAGGACTTGGTTGAGAGGCTGGTGAGCACCTTGGCACCAGAGGAGGCAAGTCAGGGAAGGGGCTGGAGAGGATGTCCTCCAGCTTCCTTTCTTAGTGTTCCTACCTACGGGCCTGTCTGGTCCGACAGCATTGGCAGCCCTGGCAGCACAGGTGGAATTGATTTTATGGCTCTGAGTTGGAAGCTGTGGTGGAGGGTAAGGTTTGGGTAAGAGGAGGGAGTGTCAGTCAACTTTGCCATAGCCTACTCTTCTCCAGTGTTCCTGATTCCACTGCTCTCTCTCTCTCTCTCTCTCTCTCTCTCTCTTTAGTGCTCAATTCTTACCTATTTTCTTTTTTTAAAATGGTTTTATTGATTTTTAGAGAGAGAAGGAGAGAGAGAAAGATCAATGCTGAGAGAGAAACATCTATTGGCTGCCTCCTGCACAGCCCCCACTAGGGATCAAGCCTGTAACCCAGGCATGTGCCCTGACTGGAACGGAACTGGTGACTTCTTGGTGCATGGGTTGATGCTCAGCCATTGAGCCACACTGGCCAGGCAGCTCTTACCTATTTTCAAGACACCCATTGACCTGGCCAAATTTCTGAGATCTTACCTTCTCTGTACCCTTCACTGAAAAGGCTCCATGTCCTCTAACCTGTGGAGTTCAGCCTCAGGAGCTACTGAATGAACTACCACCTGTCTGAGAGCCACAACTCAGAGGCCTTTTCCCAGGTTTTGCATCTTTGGCCTCATTGGGCTGAAATGATTCTTGAAGCTCTCCTCCCTTCTCAGAGGGACCCTGCGTTACTCTGACTTCCCTCCTACCTTCAGTTCTCTTTTCTGCCTCCCTCACTGGCTGGTCTTCTTTCTCCTGTTCCTAAGTTTAGATATTCCTCAAGATTCTCTCCTCAGGCTTTGCCTACACCCATCCTCCATGACCTCAACAATACCTTCTCTACAGAGAACACCCACATTGCTATCTTTAGTGTTTGCTTTTGTCTACGGAGCTCTAGACCAACATTCTAAATAACTGCTGGTAATGGGCTCATTCATTCATTCAGTATTTATATACACACCTGGAAAATATGAATACTCCATGAAATACTGCACGGGCATTTCAAATTCAGAAAGTTTTAAACAGAATTTATGGCGTCTCCCTCAAAATATGTTCCTTCTCCAGCCTCCTCCTCTCCATTGGTACCATCTTCCTCCAGTTACTTGGACATACAACCGAGGAGTCTTCTCTAACAACTTTTCTTCTGCTTCCCAAGTCTAATCGGCTGCCAAGTTCTGTGGTTTTTACTCAGGCTGTGCTTCCTTAATCAATACCTGCTTTCTATCTCAATACTGATTTATCCTTTTATCACCTGTTACCAGGATTGCTGGGGGAGCCTCCTAACTGCCTTCACTTCCTCTAGAACAGGGGTGGGCAAACTTTTTGACTCGAGGGCCACAATGGGTTCTTAAACTGGACCGGAGGGCCGGAACAAAAGCATGGATGGAGTGTTTGTGTGAACTAATATAAATTCAAAGTAAACATCATTACATAAAAGGGTACGGTCTTTTTTTTCAATAGTTTTATTCATTTCAAACGGGCTGGATCCGGCCAGCGGGCCGTAGTTTGCCCACGGCTGCTCTAAAATCTAGATTCTCTTTACCACTAGCCCATTCTTCATAATCAATATTACATTCATTTTTCTAAAGTACCACTCTAAACATACCACTTTTTTGCTCATTTGCTTACTTCTTAGTTTGGCATTCAAAGCCCTTATAACATAGCCCCAATCTAATTTCCTAGTCTTAGCTCTACAGTCCATTCTCCACTGCTGCAAAGTCCCACCCCTTCCCACCATGCTCATGGTGATGTCTCCCTTTCCCAATGTCCACATAAACTACTAGCCATCCAAATGCTACCTCAGTTATGAAGCATTTCCCAAAGGAAAGTGAATCCCGAAGCACTTTTGCACTTGGTGCTTGAATCCTGAAGCACTTTTGCACTAAGCTCTTTGCACATTCTGTGGACTCTAATAATTATTTGTGTACTATATCTCCCCCCTCTCTAAAGGCCTTGAAAGCAGAGACAGTTTTTACTTTGTATGCTCTGTAGTGTGCAATGCCCAGCACACAGGTTTGCGCTCAGCTGATGACTGCTGAACTGCATTTAAAAGGAAAAAAAGACTCTTGCTTAGAGTCAATGGAAGCTGAGACTGAATTGGAAAGCTCATCTATTCCAACCCCTCATTTTTTCAGATGAGGAGAGTAAAGGCACTGACTTGCTCAACACCACATCCTTGTTGCTGGCTGGGCAATGATAACTTATATAAAAGCTCACGAATCTCTAACGATCTCTCAGTGCTTGCTCAGCACCAATAGGCCCAGCAGACCATCAGCATTGACCAGACAAGACAGACTCAGGGGTAGGGAGTGCATTACCTGTAAAGATATGCTAGGGTCCAAAAAGATAAAGAATTTTGCTTCACTTATTCACCTCAATAAACTGAACTCATAAATATCTTTTTTATAGTTAAATAATGTTTTAAAATTGAGGTGATTTAAAGTACAAAGAAGCAAACCTTGCTAACATTACCAGCAGAAACAATCACTACAATATTGGAGATGCCACTGGGGCGTTAACTCAAGGTGAAAACCAGGATGAAGGAATTTCTCACGCTTTGCAAATGCAATGGGTTCAGCTGAAGTTCTTGGTGAGAACATGCTGCAGCAATTCTATGCTTAAATTTATGACCTTATGGAAACACAGGTGACTGGCAATTTTGCTATTATGCCACCTCAACACTTTTTTCAATCTAGCTTTGCCCAGCATTTCCCACTTTAAAGTTTTATTTATTTTTCCCCCATTAGATCACGAATTTACTTCTAGAAATACGTTGATGACTCCTCCCGTGTCTAATTTCCTTCCCTTGTTCTCCTCTTGTGGTAGAAGAAACATTAATTGTTTAATCTCATCTCTATCCTCAAACAGAGTCGAACCTAACACACTGTGGGGATAGCAGTGTTTTCCCAGGTTAGGAGATCTCAGTAGTTTTTCCTTGGCCACAGAAACCCAGCCTTTAAATGGCAGCCTACAGAGCTACAGGACTTCCTCTGACTCCCAGGTGAGTACTTTGCTCACCGCTACTCGCCAGAGGACAGCTTGGCACTATTAATCACACTCTTTGCAGCCAGTACGGTAGAGCCATGCTATGCACCGAAATGTCCATTAACTCTCCACACCCCAGGAGCCACATAAACAGTAAATGGGGCTCAAGAGCTCTTCATAGAGCTCTTCTTACTAAACCATCACATGGCTGGACAGGCCATCAACACTTCACCAGACAAGCCTTGTCTTTTCTCCCCTGGCAACTACATTAAAACGATAAGGGAAATCACTGATCGATATGTCTAGGACATTGCAGTGAAACATTGCCTGGAAGACTACAAATCCATTGTGTAATTAGATGAGTGTACATTTTAAAGATACCTAGCATTTGATTTGAATTGTGCATTTTATAATTAAATGGAGACATAATCTCCCCGTCCCCTAATCCAACTCCTCTTTCTCAATCCTACATCCTGCTTTCATTTTTTTTTTCTTGGCAAATTGTCACCTATCCCCTTCTTCTTTTTTCCCCTCATGCCTTTGCAAACACCTGAGGGTCTATTAATCAGAATTACCACCTGCTGTGTCATGTTCTATTGCTTAAAGGGTGGTTCTCCTCTAAAAAAGACTCAGTGAATATGACTTCATGAAGTTTAATATTTATTCTTTTTCAATGATTTCCATAACCAATGTAGTCACATTTTTTAAAGCAAAAGATAATTTTGAGAGGCTGCTGGGCCAATTTTGAGAGGCTGCTAGGGCCGCACATGCCTCCCATATCGGAAATACAGCTGTGCTCCTTGCCTCTTACATCATCCCTATAATAGTCTGCTCTGGCAACCCAGCTGGCACAGCTCTCGCTGTTGTCAGAGGCAGGAGACTGGAGTCCTTTCCATTCCCGCCTGTGTTTCTGACATCTCTGCAGCTCTGTCTGGGAAGCCCTTGGGGAACAGAGCTGTTATGTAACACACAGCCATATATTACTGTGAGGCACTTCCTGCAGAGGTCTTATTCCCATTCTTTAGAAACCACACCAAGTCATTCTAAAGAGACAGCTGGGGCCTTCATGACTAAAGCTTACAAAAATGATAATAGTAACAATAATAGCTGCCATTTATTACACCTCTAAATGTTGTCAGGGGCCATGCCAGGCATTTTGATATGTAAATACATTCTCATTTGACCCTCACATGTCAAATGAGAATGTCATCCTGTAGGTGTTGCCACAACTATTTCACAGATGAGGAAAAGTGAGGCTCAGAGAGCTCAAATAACATTCCAAGACTAGGAAGCGGTGTATAGTCAAACCAAGACCTCTCTGACTCTAAATCTGTGCTTTTTTTTCACTATACAGTCACTGTTCCAACCCAGCAGGGACACATTCTAGTTCCCACTGTGATCTCAGTGCAAGAAAGATGCTTATGTTGTTTCCATGATGACTCAGAGCCACTGAAAGAACTGAGAGCACAGACCTCCGGTGAAGGAACTCTTTCAGATACTGTCAATACATATGGCTTCTTCCTAGCTCCTCCTTATCAGAAGATGAAAAGTCTTCTCATCTACCTTACAGCGGTCTTCTCAAACTGGAATGGTGGAGGTGAATTCTGCATATCTAAGGAGCTCCGTAGTTCTGCATTTCTAAGGAGCTCCCAGGTGAGGCTGCTGACACTAGTCCGGGCACCACAGGTCTGGCATCTGACACTCGCCTTCCCACCTAGGGCTGTGTTTAAGGAGCAGGTTCAACTGAACAACTTGACTAACAGCTCGCAAGGCTCAACTGCCTTCTGATTCTGGGCCAGTGTGTCAGGTCATCAGGCATTAGACAGAATTCGAGG